CATCTACCACCTGCTTGGCCTGAAAAAGATATTTTATATTTACATTTTTATGGGTGTGTTGCAGAGTTCCCTCTAAGCTGAGTTAGTGTGAGCTAGCTCACAGTTTCTTAGTCTCTGGCTCACACATTTTTGTCTTCGCTCAGGAAGGGATGGCTCCCGAGCAAACTAATTTATGTTGTAGCCAAATTGCTCGCTCACAACTTTAATGCCAGGAGCTCACAAAGTAGAATTCTTGCTCACAAGACTCCACAGCTTAGAGGGAACATTGGTGTGTTGGTACAATTTAGACCACTGAAGAAGGTCCTCTGGGCCGAAACACGTTCTGTCCTGTGGTTATTATACATGTGTAACTATTTGCATTCTATGTATGTTTTTAATGTTAAATTTATTGGTGCGCTGTGTAACAAATAGTTGTATTTTATTTCATATTTGAACTGCTCAACCTTTAAGGTTTCTAACTTGATTTTCAGGTTCGGTTCCCACCGCCCCATTGTTGTTTCCTCAAAGGGAGAACCATATATACCGCACTGAGTTCCTTGCAGGAAGGGTGGATGGGATTCCAGGAGGAACTTGATCAACTTACTTCCCCCCATAGCAACTCACGATATACTGCTCTTGAATCTGGAGGCTCCACTAGCTAGTCACTGATAGACCTATCATCCATGAGTTTACCTAATCTTTAAAAGCCATCTAGGATTGCAGCCATCAACATACCTCATATCTGACCAAATGGAGCTTTGATTCTCTGTACACCAGTGTTCCCTCTAAGCTGAGTTAGTGTGAGCTAGCTCACAGGTTTTTAGCCTCCGGCTCACAGATTTTTATCTTAGCTCAGGAAGGATGGCTCCAGAGCAAAGTAATTTATGCAATAGTCAAGTTGCTCGCTCACAACTTTAATGCCAGTAGCTCACAAAGTAGAAGTTTTGCTCACAAGACTCCACAGCTTAGAGGGAACGTACACCCCCAAATTCTTGTTGGTATCAGACTCAAATCTAGCTATACCTCTCAAGCTATTTAATCTCCAGAGGGTCTTATTTTTTTAAAAAAAATGTCATGAGATCTTGGAAAGACTGGCACTGGTTGCAACAGCAGCTTTTAGATGGCCAGCAATCTCTGCTTCCCCTGTTCCATTTTATTTTGTTGAGAGCATCAATTTCAAAAGGTATAAGCCAATCCTAAAAGAAATCAACCCTGACTGTTCCCTGGAAAGCCAGGTACTGAAGCTGAAGCTCCAATACTTTGGCCACCCAATGAGAAGGGAGCACTCACTGGAGAAGACCCTGATGCTGGGAAAGATGGAAGGTCAAAGAAGAAGGGGACGGCAAAGGATGAGATGGCTAGACAGTCTTATTGAAGCAACAAACATGAAATGCAAACTCCGGAGCACGACGGAGAGTCGGACTCGACTGTGCGACTGAACAACAACATAATCGGACCTCCCATGCCATTAAAAACGGTGAACACATTGTCGCCACTAGGTGGCGGTAGAGAACAAGCCATCACAAAAGATCGGTTCTCATTTAAGGTATCTCTCGCAGGTGAGAATAAAGTTCCCTTCAACAGCGGAGACTAGTGCAAAATAGGACCAAGATGAACTGAAGCCTCAGCACCTGGGTGAGAAAACGGGTTTGGGGGGGGGGGACACAGGAGCCTTGGGGCATCTTGGAAACTTGCCCAGATCACAGCCCCTTTGCATCTGAAGAAGCCAGCTGTAGTCCGCACAAAGCTAGGATAAAAATGCTGTTAGTCTTTAACGTTTTGTTGTTGTTCAGTCCAGATGATGTAGATCACGTATTTATTTAGAACATGTATTCCACTTCTCCCAGAGAAAATGGCTGCTTCGAATGGTGGGCAGCCCAGCATTATACCCTACCAGGGTCTCTCCCCTCCTTAAACCCTGTCTCGGCTGCAACAAGGTGGCAGGGTGGGGTTACCAACCCCCAGGTGGCACCTGGAGATCTCCGGACAACCAAGATCAGTTCCTATGGAGAAAATGGGCTGCTTTGGAGGGTGGGCTCCGTGGCATTAAACTCTGCTGACGTTCTTCCCCTATTTATTCGATTTATACCCCCCCCCCCCCCCCCCCACACCAGGGAGGGCGGACCCCCACCCAGACTGCAGAGGATCAGTTCCCCTGCAGGAAATGGCTGCTTTGGAGGGTGGACTCTGTGGCCTTGCACCTCGCTGAGGTCTCTGCCCTCCCCAGGCTGCATCTCCAAATATCCAGGAGTTTCCCAACCTGGAGTGGAGCTGTGGTGGCTCAAGTGGTCGAGGCGCTGAACTGCAGGCCGGAAGGTCGGTAGTTCGGCAGTTCGAGACCCGAGTGCCGCATGACGGAGTGAGCTCCCGTCTCTGGCCCCAGCTCCTGCCTACCTAGCAGTTCGAAAGCAAGACATTGCAAGTAGGTAAATAGGGACCGTTTCCGTAGGAAGGTAACAGCGTTCCGTGCGCCTTGGTGTTTAGTCACGCCGGCCACATGACCACGGAAACGTCTTCGGACAGTGCTGGCTCTTCGGCTTGGAAACAGAGATGAGCACCGCACCCCTAGAGTCGGATTCGACTGGTTTTCGAGCAAGGGAACCTTAACCTTTAATTGTTACTAACTAGTCCTAACCTTCCAACCTAAAAACAGGACATTTTTATCAGGTTTTTCTTTAATGAGGCCAAAGGATGGACACAAAAGAAAAGATCTGGTAGCCAGTGTTCTCTCTAAGCGCCAAAGTGTTGTGAGCAAAAATTCTACCTCATGAGCGAAAAAAGCTTGTAGCAACCCTAGGAGAAATGGCTCCAAGCCAAGTGCTTCTCATTCCAACAAATAGCTCCCAGCGATGACCCACTCAAATCTCACTGGAGCCAAAACACTCTAATGGGTTTGGCCTCAAGGGACAGGTGCCTGAGGCCCCATAACAAAAGAAAGCTCCTGCTGTTTAACTGCTGGAGAGATTTCCTTAATGGGGGGTACTCAATAAGCTCTCAGGGCTTGGGGGCAGGGAGGGGCACAGGGGTGTGTCCACAGGAGGGGCAGCTGGGTTCTCTCGGCCAGACCCTGTTGGGAGTTTAGAACTGCCAGCTCAGGGCTCAGAAGGTGGATGCCAGCTTCCAGGTGGGACCTGGAGACCTGCCGGAATTACAAATCATCTCCCAAGTTACAGAGAACAGTTCCCCTGGAGAAAAAGGGTGGAGAAAAAGGGGAAGCCCGTGTGGTATACTGGTTAAGGCAATGTTCCCTCTAAGCTGTGGAGTCTTGTGAGCAAAAATTCCACTTTGTGAGCTAACTGGCACTAAAGTTGTGAGTGAGCCATTTGGCTACTGCATAAATTCGTTTCCTCTGGAGCCATTCTTCTTGAGCTAAGACAAAAATGTGTGAGCTGGAGGCTAAAAAACCGTGAGCTCACTCACAGTAACTCAGCTTAGAGGGAACAGTGGTTAAGAGTGGCAGACTCCTCCCCCATGCAGCCAGCTGGGTGGCCTTGGGCCAGTCACAGCTCTCTCAGCCCCACCTACCTCAAAGGCTGCCTGTTGCGGGGAAAGGAAGGGAAGGCGATGGTAAGCCTCTCTGAGACTCCTTCGGGTAGTGAAGGGGCAGGGTATACAAACCAACTCTTATTTATATTGCAATTATACCCCACTGAGGTCCCTGTGCTCCCCAGGCTCCATTCCCAAATCTTCAGGAATTTCCCAACCTGAATCTGGCAACCCTACCCACCACCACCCCGTCCCGCCTAGGGGTGACATGACAACCCTAGAACTTGGGGAATTCCTGGAGACGGTGGCGTTTGGGAAACGCAGGGACCTCGGCAGGTTGTAAGACCATGGAGTCCCCCGTCCAAAGCAGCCATCATCAGCTCCAGGAGAAGTGATCTGGAGTCTAGGGGCCGTGGCTCAGTGGCAGAGCCTCTGCTTGGCATGCAGAAGGTCCCAGGTTCAATCCCCGGCATCTCCAGTCAGGATCAGATTGTGATGCGAAAGACCTCATACCCTGGAGGGCGGCTGCCAGTCTGAGTGGACAATACTGACCTTGATGGACCATTGGTCTGATTCAGTAGAAGGCAGCTTCATGTGTTCAGTTGGGTATATATTTATGGGGTGGGGCCGTGTCTCAGTGGGAAGAGCCTCTGCTTGGCATGCAGAAGGTCCCAGGTTCAATCCCCGGCATCTCCAGTTAAAAGGACCGGGCAAGTAGGTGATGGGAAAGACCTTGACCTGAGACCCTGGCTCAGTGGTAGAGCATCTGCTTGTCACGCAGAAGGTCCCAGGTTCAATTCCCGGCATCTCCCGTTAAAAGGACCGGGCAAGTAGGTGATGGAAAAGACCTTGACCTGAGACCCTGGCTCAGTGGTAGAGCATCTGCTTGGCATGCAGAAGGTCCCAGGTTCAATCCCCGGCATCTCCAGTTAAAAGGACCAGGCAAGTAGGTGATGGGAAAGACCTCTGCCCAAGACCCTGGAGAGCCGCTGCCAGTCTGAGTAGACAATACTGACTTTGATGGACCCAGGGTCTGATTCAGTAGAAGGCAGTTTCATGTGTTCATGGAGCCCACCCCTCCAAAGCAGCAATCTCCTCCAGGGGAACTGATCTCTCGCCTAGAGATCAGTTGTAGTTCTGGGAGATCTCCAGGCCCCACCTGGGGGGTAGTCAACCCTAGTTACCAAATGAGGGGCAGCACCCCCTTCACACACAACCCCACACACAAACACAAACAACACATGCAAGCAATGCTCTCTGAGCTGTGGAGTCTTTTGCGCAAAAAATCTATTTTGTGAGCTCCTGGCATTAAAGTTCTGAACGAGAGATTTGGCTACGGCGTCAATTGGTTTGCTCCGGAGCCCTCCTTCCTGAGCGAAGACGGAACTGTGTGAGCTGGAGGCTTAAAAATTGTGAACTAGCTCATACTAACTCAGCTTAGAGGGAACACTGCTTGCAATTACAGAAGACATACACGCTTTTTGGAATTCCACCCATTTCTTTTTTTATTTTTTTGTCCCATGCTCAAGGTCGTCTCAAACGTTGGAGCGTCTGTTTTTCCTGCAGCCCAGGAGAAATGCCAGCACCACCAAGGCGGAGGCCAGCAGACCAGTCATGACCGTCAGTCCCATCATGATAAGCACAGACTTCTCGTGGGCATCTGAAAAGAGACGTTCAGATACTGGCTGAGTGATGCATCTCCGTCCCTAGAAGTCAGGCTGGGCCCACTGTGGCTGCTTCATCCGAAGAAGAAGAGGTTGGATTTATACCCTGCCCTTCACTACCCGAGGAGCTGCGGTGGCTCAAGTGGTTAAGACACTGAACTGCAGGCTGTGGAAGGTCGGTAGTTCAGCAGTTCGAGACCCGAGTGTGCTGCATGACGGAGTGAGCTCTCGTCTCTGGCCCCAGCTCCTGCCAACCTAGCAGTTCGAAAGCAAGAAATTGCAAGTAGATAAATAGGGACCACTTCGGTGGGAAGGTAACAGCGTTCCGTGCACCTTGGTGTTTAGTCATGCCGCCCACATGACCATGGAAACGTCTTCGGACAGTGCTGGCTCTTCGGCTTTGAAACGGAGATGAGCACCGCAACCCTAGAGTCGGATTCGACTGGCTTTCGAGCAAAGGGAACCTTTACCTTCACTACCCAAAGGAGTCTCAGAGCGGCTTACGATCTCCTTTCCCTTCCTCTCCCCCCAACAGATACCTTGTGAGGCAGTCGGGACTGAGAGAGCCCTTTCGAGGACTGCCCTTGAGAGAATAGCTCTGAAAGAACTTGTGGCTGACCCAAGGTCACACCAGCAGCTGCATGTGGAGGAGTGGGGAATCAAACCCGGTTCTCCCAGATCAGAGTCCGCGCTCCTCACCACTACACCAAACTGGCTGTCTCCGAGCAAGCTTATTCAACAGAGAGATCATATAGATTTGTTTATTGGATTCGTTCTAATTCTCCTATGTAATATCAACGGATGCTGTAACTGTATCGGCTCTGTTTAAGCTTAATAAAGGTAAAGGTTCCCTTGCTCGAAAGCCAGTCAAATCGGACTCTAGGGTTGCGATGCTCATCTCCGTTTCAAAGCCGAAGAGCCAGCGCTGTCCAAAGATATTTCCATAGTCATGTGGCCGGCATGACTAAACACCGAGGCACACGGAACGCTGTTACCTTCCCACTAAAGTGGTACCTGTTTATCTACTTGCAATTTCTTGCTTTCGAACTGCTAGGTTGGCAGGAGCTGGGGCCAGAGACAGGAGCTCACTCAGTCATGCGGCACAGTCGGGTCTCGAACTACTGACCTACCGACCTTCCACAGCCTGCAGTTCAGCGTCTTAACCACTTGACCCACCACAGCTCCTTTAAGCTTAATATATCTGGTCAAATGAGCTAAATGAGCTCCGCCTCCTGTGACAGCCATTTTGTGGCTGGCTCCGCCCCCTCTGACAGCCATCTTGTAGCAGCTGTGCCCACCACCCTGTGTCAAAATTCCAAAGGCGCCCGCAGGCTCAAAAAGGTTGGGGACCCCTGTTGTGAACCACCAAAGCATTCCAAGATTCAGACTGCAGCTACCTTGTGACGTCGCCCTCGACTTCCTCTCGTCTTCGAGGTACGTGGACGTCTTGAGCTCCTCCAGTATGAAGGGTCCCACCAGAACGTCAGCTTCTCTTTCACCCATGGAGGACTCCCCTGTGTAGACAAGCCAAAGTGCTTCATCTGGTTCCATTCCAGCACTCGTACCAGAGTATTACAGGCGAGTGCAAAGCGACCATCAAGTTGCAGCCAACTTATGGTGACCCCGTGGGATTTTCAAGGCACGAGACTAACAGGGGTGGTTTGCCACTGCCTGCCTCTGCATAGCAACCCGGGAATTCCCTTGGTGGTCTCCCATCCAAGTGCTAACCGGGGCCGACCCTGCTTAGCTTCCGAGATCTGACGAGATCAGGCTCACCTGGGCCATCCAGGCCAGGGCAGACAAACAGAGGGGGTTTGCCCTTGCCTGCCTCTGCCTAGCAACCCTGGGCTTCCTTGTTGGTCTCCCATCCAAATACTAACCAGGGCCAACCCTGCTTAGCTTCCGAGATCTGGCGAGATTGGGCTCGCCTGGGCTGTCCAGGTCAGGGCAGACAAACAGAGGTGGTTTGCCACTGCCTGCCTCTGCATAGCATCCATGGACTTACTTTCTTTTTCTTTTTTGCTCCCCAATGGGGAATTTTCTATTGCATTTTTATTAAAACTACGAACTATAACAGAAATAAGGAAGGGGACTACATATAAGGGGGGATAAAGAAAAGATACCCACTACTGACCAAAAACCCAAGAGAGGAGATCTTCTAATCAGCTTAAATACACACCTAGTCTTAATCGTATTAATCTCATTACAAACTGAGTCACATAGTCTGTTAACTTTCCCCACATCTTAAATTTAACTGATATCAGGAAATACCCCAAAAGCATCTCAATTCAACATTTTCCAAAGGCACAATTTCAGAGTCCTTCAGCCTTCACTTCTTCTTGTCCAGTCTCTTCCGCAACTTATAAGGACTTTTCGGAGCTGCTGCCCCTTTCTCAGACAGAGAGTCCTCTCCGGAAGACCCTGGACTTCCTTGACGGTCTCCTACCCAAGTCCTCACCAGGGCTGACCCTGCTTAGTTTCCAGGAACTGACAAGATCGGGCCAGCCTGAATCCAGAAACCCGCAAGACAAAAGTCCAGCACTCACCCTGGGCGGAAGGGAGTTCTCTCCGGAAGCGCCCACCCGGCCCTCTCCACCAAGAGTTAGCTCCTGGGGACTGACCAGGGCTTATCCCACAATTCCCGGTCTCACAGCAGCGGCAGATGCCGTCAGGGCCTTCGAGCGCAGACCAGCTGCAGCGAAGAGGAGGAGAGCGTCGACTCATGTCCGCAGTCACCCCCCCCCCAGGCCCCTTCCCGACGAGCCACGGACGTCCCTCACCTGGTCCGTGCTTTGTTGAAGAAGCACGCCTTGTTCAGAGCATCCGGGGACTGGTCGCCAGCAACGACTTTCAAGTGGCAAGTGATGTAGACCTTGGAGAGGGGGGAAATCAGCAAGAGATAGCTGGATGTGAGCCAGTCTGCTTCCTGGCTTATACACTAAGCAACTCAGCGTAACCTCCAAAGCTGAAGCCCGTTGTTAGGCATTCTTAATTTTAAAGTAAATCAGCAGAGTATTAAAGAGGCAGAGTCCATGGTGTGCTTAAAAGAATAAAAGTTTACTACAACCTAGCATGGGGGAAAGGTACACGGGATGTAAAATAACAAAGAGCTAATATTCCTACATCCTTACAGCTAGACTGAAAATGGCAGAAGAGAGACGAAGACTAACTTCTTCTTCTTGCTCAGGACAAAGAACCATAAAATGCTAATACTTGGCACTTTGGTCTCCAATCAGAACAACAAACTAGATCTGAAGTTACCGGGCTTTCTAACTCTCTAAACAGATTGGTTACAAACAAACATGCGACTTAACAAACATCATTAACCCAGTAAATACTGAAGTGTTTTAACTTGTAACACCCAACACCCGTGCTAAGCTCCTACATTAAAAATGGGTTGCTTGAGAGATGCTAAGCCCCCCAATATGAAGAACAGATTGGATTTATACCCTACCCTTCACTACCCAAAGGAGTCTCAGAGCAGCATACAATCTCCTTTCCCTTCCAATCCTCACAACAGGCACCCTGTGAGGTAGGTGGGGCTGAGAGAGCTCTTTACAGAACTGCTCTTGAGAGAACCGCTC